GCGGTCTTTTTTCCCTCCACTTGGTGCGGCGGTTCTGGACCCAGGTCTTGACCTGGGCATCCGTCATCTTGAGGGCCTTGGCCAGGGTGGCGCGCTCGGCCGAGGCCAGGTACTTCTGGCGATGGAAGCGCTTCTCCAGCTCACAGATCTGCACCCGGCTGAAGGAGGTGCGTGGCTTCTTCCGCTTGGGCGGTGTGCGGTTCTGGTAGGGGTGTCCGATTCGCCGGGTTGCCGCGAAGGGCGACAGCGCAGCTGCAAGCAGGGGGGGTGAGGGGCTGCTCAGGGGAGCCACGGGCAGAATGCCCTGCCCATCGCTGCTGCCGCACGGGCAGGGACCGGACAGAGCCCCTGCTGAGGGCAGGGCAGGAGCGGGCGCAGCCCTGGCAGAGTGGGAGCCTGGGGAGGGATGCTCGGGGCCATGGGGACGGGGAGCTCCAGGGGGGCCGTGGGGACAGGGAGCTCCGGAGGGACCACCAGCGCTGCCTGGCAGAGAGGAGGGGAGGAGGAGACCCCGAGTCGTCCCCACCCACTCCCACAGCCCAGGGACACGCAGGGCAGCTCAAGACGTGGTGGGAGAGCCCATCCACACCCCACAGCCACAGCCTGATCGCTCCCCCAGCCTGGCGGGTGGGGACTGGGGCTGGCGGGGTGGCTGGGCAGGCCCGGTCTCAGGGCCAGTGCAGGGCTGGCGAGGCTCCCGGCAGCACAAACCCATCCTTCCCCATGCGCCGAGCCCTGCCACAGCCCCAGAGGAGCCTCTGCGGTGCTGCCGGGGCTTCCCAGCCCTCCCGGGGAGGGGACAGGACCCCAGAAGCCGTCGCGAGGTGGCCGATGTCTCCCTCCGCGCGCCAGCAGCGTCCGAGTGATGGGGGCCAGGGAAGGGGCTGTCCTTGCACGACTGGGGCGTGAGCCAGGGATGGCAAGGCCGGACGCAGCCGGAGCCACGGGGAGCGTCAGGGCAGCGAAGGGGTGTGGAGAAAGGCGAGAGCTCGGCCAGAGCACAGCACCCAGCTCCCGCTCCCCTCCTGCTCTGCTGGCAGCCCACGGCTGAGCCACGGCCCCACGGTCCTCGTTAGCACTGGCACTGCACAGGCAGGGCTGCACATGGCCGGGCCCATGGGGCTGCCATGGGGCCCCAGCACCCCATGCCCGCGGGGGTGTGGGGCAGACCCCACAGTAGCCCTAGGGACAGCCTGGCGCCCGGCAGACCCTCCCCATGAGGCTGGACCCTCCCTCCCGCCAGCACCCAGGCAGGCAGCACGGGCAGGAGGCCAGCCCGCCCGCCCGCGCGGGGGGACGCCGCAGGAGCCCGGCCCGG